GGTATGTCCGGGCAGCAGCGAGTGCTGGGGTCTTGGTTTGGGGTCCCATGTTGCAGTGTCACCTTCCTACATTGCAAATGAGACCTTTGGCTTAGTGGGTTTTGGGTCTATTTAGAAACCTTCTATTTTGCTTATTTGTATTTTCTTGCTTATTCAGCCTACTGGTTTGTATGTGCTTTGATCATTGCTTTAGACCTGTCTGTTCCTAGCCAGCGAGTTCGAAGCTGGGGTCTTGGTTTGGGGTCCCATGTTGCAGTGTCACCTTCCTACATTGCAAATGAGACCTTTGGCTTAGTGGGTTTTGGGTCTATTTAGAAACCTTCTATTTTGCTTATTTGTATTTTCTTGCTTATTCAGCCTACTGGTTTGTATGTGCTTTGATCATTGCTTTAGACCTGTCTGTTCCTAGCCAGCGAGTTCGAACTACGTCTCCATCACTTTCTTCCGCATTGTTGGGAGACATCCATGTGACAGGGTTTTATGCCTCTCTGTGCCCCTCACCAGGGTATTTTTCCTCACCAATTTGCTTCTTTCTGTCCCCTCCTGCAGTATTTCTATGAAGGGAATGACATCAGTGACCTGCCAGTCAACTTGTCTGTGGTCTGGAATGGGAACTTTGTCATTGACAACCCCCAGAACATCCAGGGTGAGTGAGGAATGGGACCAGGGTGGGAAACCAGCTTTATGCCCCCCAGTCTCCAGCCAGCCTCTGTCCCAGCCCTGCTGCAGTTTGCACCAGTGATGCTCTGGCTGCATCGGTCAGATGGGTTTGCTAATTAAGAGGTTTTTCCCCAAGAAGCTGTGGGTGAGAGCCCAAAGCTCTGCCTCAGCACTGAGTCCAGGCTGCTGGTGCCTCCTGCCCGTGGGGGCTTGTCCTCTTGGGGGCAGCTGGCACGCACGCAGTGGGATGGGGAAGGAGAGGGTGCTCGTCTCCCCCAAGCGCTGTGCCCGTGTGCTGGGGGATCTGTGCTGACCCCGGCTCTCCTCCTGCCTTGCAGCCCACCTGTATAAGTGCTCGGCGCTGCGGGAGAGCTGCGGGCTGTGCCTCAAGGCTGACCCGCGCTTCGAGTGCGGCTGGTGCGTGTCGGAGCGACGCTGCTCGCTGCGGCAGCACTGCCTGGCCTACGAGAGCAGCTGGATG